AACAATATATAGTTTGTCATGATTAGATTAGGATTTAATTGTAATATAGTGAAGTAAACTTAGGCGTCCCACAGAGGGGACGGGTGACAGTTAAAGGGTTTAATCAACTGCATATTTAACTCTGGTGCTAAATAAATACCATAGTTGATTCCCTTCTGTGATATGTGAATAAAATATATATTCATATTAGATATGTCATTATGATTACTGCTGGAGTTGTTGCTGTTATATTGAAAATTTTAATTTAAATTAACGAAATGTTTAAAAATGAAAATAACACAATAGTACACAAAATACTGTACAGAAACAGTAAAAATATCTTGTAAAACTACGTAATACAAATATCAGTATCAAAATGACTAAATATATATATTTTAAAATAAGGCCAACTACAAAAAATTCATCCACATAAAACACTTTTGGAAACACGTTGTTTCTATGTCCTTAGTTCCTTCATAACAGAGGTAAGTCTTAGCAATCAGATTCAATCACGTTAGTTCAGTCCTTCACCTTCAAACGCACCGTTGGCTTGGCCTAGTCTGGGGAGGGGTCTCCTTCTTCTGGAAGATGCTGAAGACATCTCACGATCTGAGGACGGGACCCGAGGCAGATCAGAGGGAACTTCACTCCGCTTCACCTTTTTCTTCTTCTTTTTTGTTCTGTGAAGAAAAGAATATCAATGTGTACTCAAGAATGCAAGTACTCAGATGACGGATGTGGTTAATTCATACGTGGTGGAGGACGCCTCAGGGTCAGTGTCCAGCTCTGAGATGATCTTCAGCTCTCCAGAGGCACTGATGGCTGCAGACAGCTGCAGGTACAGAGAACATAAGGGTCAAACTATGACGTTTCACTAACTTATGGGAGGAATAAATGAAAATGTGTCATTACCTGGACTGGTGTCGCACGCTCGACTCCTTCAGGTTGATCTAACGCTGACGGCAGTGCTTCTAAAGCTCTTGAGAGCTCGTCATCAAAACTCCCTGTGGGAGATACACATGGATTTAGACAATATAATATCATACATGTGCTTTTGGTTATCAAACCTTATTCACAAACCATCATCAGCCACATAGGATGCTGGGAAGTATCCTTCCTGTCCACTGACCAGTCGCCCAAACCACCAGCTGTCATTGTCTTTATACAGCACATGGATCACATCACCACGGCGTATCGACAGCTCATCCGATCGATTGGCTCTGTACTCGTATAAAGACACGACCTAGAGAACATTTAATACAAGAGGTCATTAACTGACTCCAAGTAATTCCACATTTATAGTAATGTATTATAATAAAACAAAGTTTACCGTTTGATGGATTTGCCCAAAGTCTGTCTCTGCTTGTTGAGAGAATTCATAATCCAGTAAACTCTGCGGACATGAACACAATCTTAAACAAACCAAAACTACAAAAACAAATCCAAAAATATAATTGAAAACAACTTTTCTTATGCTAATCAAGCCTGCATTTATTTGATGAGAAATACAGTAAAAACAGTAATATTGTGAAATATTTTTAGAATTTTAAATAACTTTTCAAATTTTCATATATGTTAACATTTAATTTATTCCTGTGAATTTTCAGCATCATTACTTCAGTCTTCAGTGTCATGATCCTTCAAAAATCATTCTAATATGCTGATTTGCTGCTCAACAATCATTGCTTATTATTATCAATGTTGAAAACAATTGTGTTGCTGCATAGTTTCGTGGAAACCATGACACATTTTTTTTTCAGGATAATTTGATGAATAGAAAGTTCAAAATAACAGCATTTATTTGAAATAGAAATCTTTTGTAACAATGTAAAAGTCTTTACTGTAACTTTTGATCAATTTAATGTGTCCTTCCTGAATAAAAGTATTCATTTCTTAACTTTTGAATGGTAGTGTAATACTAAAAACAGATCTCATTGTCTTACTTTCTGGTGTTTGAGGGATGGAGCTCTTCTAATGGGCTGCCCAGCAGGACTGTAACTACCTGTGAGAGGAGAGAACGATTTAAAGACCTAATGATTTCAAGTGCCTTAGAAACAAACTAAACTTTTCAATATACATACTAACATTTTTCAATCTTCTCTACCCTGTAGTGTTGAGATGTGCTCTTCAAAACAATGCATGCTCAAGTTATCCTACATAATATAAAGGATAATGTAGAGAACATACTACTGTGTGAGGTGAGCGTGGCCTGTGGAATGAGTTGAGCGCTGAGTGATGAGGACATCTGTAGTTTGGAGTGAGGAGACAGCAGAGATGGAGGAGGAAGATACGAGGCCAGGCCCTGAAAGAAGCCACAATAACAAGAGCTCAATGTAGGACTGAGCTTCAGTATGAATGCTATATGATACGGTTTCTATTTTGAATATATAAAAATATGAGTGCTGCTCTTGTAGTAAATTATAATGTCAATCTCATTGCAAATGGTTTTAATCATTGTATAATCAGTTCAAGGACTAAACCGAACCTGCCAACTCCAATAAATCAGGTTTAGACAGAATAATTTTACTTCAACCAAAACTAGTACTGTTTGTGTCTATAAACATAATTTAATAAACTCTAAAAGCTATTTTACAGGTGTAACTTCTATAGCCAAGTGCAAAAGACATATATTCACCTCTTGGCTCCTTCCCAGTATATATATATATATATATATATATATATATATATATTTGTGTCAATTTACAACAAAATTCATTGCAAATAAACATTATCATGTACATCACTTGCCTTGTTCATACATATTCACACCTGGGGAACTGCAATGGGGCTCCTGAAAGAAAAAAGTATAGCTGACAGATTACTGACTGAATTATAATGCTGATAATAATCAGTTATAATTTAATTAAATTTGCAACAGCCTTTCTATTTTTGGCCCTTAAAACTTCAAACTAATTCAAACTAAAAACCTTCAAGCTTTTAAAACTGATTCAAACTTTCTGGTCAGGCTTTGTCAAGCCAACATCAAAGTTTGTCCTGATTAACTTTTTTTTTATGTAGTTAAATATAATCATCAACATGTTTACCAGTACAGAGTCTAGTTTCTGTTTGACCCGCTGCATCTTTAGAGACACACGAGCTGTGCTGGCGAATCGGTCCATGCTGGTGGCTGAAGTGTTCTGGAAGGTCGTGACCTCTGATGAATTCCTGCCCGTCTTACTGTCCAGATTATCTGACCGGCTCAAGCCTCTCAAACTCTCCACCTCCATCTGAGCCACTGCGTACATGCACAAAACACTCATCTTTAAGAGAAAATTATCATATGACTTGTGTTTCTAAATACTAATGAATCAGTGGATTTCTGAGTCATTTAGAGGACTCACACTTCCGGTCATACAGATAGAGATGGATGGGCTGGTTTTGGCCGAAGGAACAGAAGGCCACCATGTTCTCATGAGGGTGGAAAACTACAGCTCGAAGCGCAGATGTATAGCACAGCTCAGAGTACACGGCGACCTGGTCACCTGCACAACAGATATCCCAGTTCAGTCTCCACTTGGATTTTTCTTTGTATTCATACTAAAGTGACTCAAAAGAATCTCCAAACCTGTCTCAGAGTTCCACACATACGCCAGTCCATCTTCACTGCCTGAAAAGATGAAGCTTCCGCAGGGAGTGAATGTGCTGTTGATTCGCTCCCTGTAGTTTGTGGCACCTATGTATTTCTTCACTGCAAGACTGTAAAACAAGTGTTTGTTTTTAATTTGATATTTGCATTTATTTAAGTTATTTGAGTATTTCCCTATAATTACTGGTACTATCAACAAATGCACTGATTCATGTGCTTTTTAAAAAGTCAACATGGAAGTAAAATTGACTCAAATTACTCTTAATACACATATATTAGTCTCAGCCTCAGACGTCACACCCACGGACCGTTGGCTGAACGTCTGATGCATATGGCACACAAAAGTGGAAACACTTCAGGAGTTTCGAAGTCGTCATCGGATTGGTTGAATTATACAGGATTTCCAGGAGACGTGTGTGTCGATACCGTCGCGCCAAACCCCATCACGAAAGAAGAAAGCCGTCGTGTTTACAACTGTGACGACAAGCGCTTATGAGGATCAACTAAACGCTGGATTCTCAAAATTATGTGAAATATTTAAAGTTCGCGGCATAGAATCTTTAAAATAAAACGTGACGCTGAAACGAAATGAACTATGATTGGCTGGTTGACATGTCGGTCAAATGGCCTCATGGGCGGGCCTTGGCCAATGAAAGCTGCCATGGATTCCAGACCTTCAGCTGCTACGCGAGACTACACATATATAGACTTGCTGCACATGATTTATCTTAATTAATTA